GATAGATAAGGCTCCATATACCATATAAACATCGTTTCAATGGAAAGTCCGCTGCCCAGTTTATGATCCCTAATCTTCCTCTATCTCACCCAATTTCAAAAGAAAAGGTTGCTAATATAAAAAAACCTCTAAATCTCGTGGTTGGGGAAAACTGGGAAGATACTACCGAAGATTTCATTCATTGATACCCAACTGTTCTAACCTTACAACCAGTAAGTTTAGTAGAAGAAGATGACACAGTCTGTGAGTGTTTAGTTCCTGAAGTTGTTGTTCATATTTAATTATTCATTAATTAATACGTTTCTTGTATGTTTAATAAACAAACTTTACTTGCTAATCATTTTTTATTGGTGAACAAAGTTAGGGATAAGACACTGAGAAATTTAAATTAACTATTCAAAGTTTTTATTCGTTGGTACAAAACCAACTTTATCCTGCATAATGGTACAAGACCAACTTTCCGTCATATTCGTGCAAAACCATATAGCAATTAGGTAGTAATTAGTAATTACTGTCCGAACCCGCCTACTATAATCAAAATTTTGAGCTTTAGCGCTTACTATTTTGGAATTGAAAATTAACGCTTATTTTCCGCAAATACACCATACATGCGATACATCATTGGAAAGCTAAAAATATGCTCTTTGCATTAACATCATAATCAAGTATAGTTTGTATTTAAAAAAATACAACTTTGTGTTGTATCTCAAAAATCATCAAATATTTTTATAATTTTTCAACGGTAGTATATTCTACTTAAAAAAGTGTCTTAAGAACGTATCAACCCCATTTCTCTAATTTAAAAAATAAACGAAATATGAGCATTTTATGAAATCACGAAAATTTGACTTTTTGGCTATAACTTAAAAACAAAAGAAGAGAGTTTGCGGGATTGGGTTAGTCTCGAAAAAAGAGACCGGGACATGGCACCTACTTTTTTCGTATCTCTTATAGTTTCTGAGATAGCCTATAATAACACCCAAATTTGCCCACCCTGTACACTTGGAACTACTTGATTTTCTAACATTTGCAGATATCTGCCTCCGTCAAAATTTCCATTAATAAAAAATAGACCAATTACATTCCCCCCCATAATACCAGCCCATACATTAATTTTCTGCGGTCTCTGACTATGATCTTCTCTTATTAAACGGAATGAATTTTCGTCATTCCAATAACGACAATTGTGCCATTAACCTTACATGTTGTATATTTTTATTGAACTAAAACGCACGGCTAAACCCGAATGTTTTTATTTCTTGGTCTAGTGTTAGTTCGAGTTTTACATTAGCACTATCACTAGAACTAACACAAGAATTAGAACTAGAATAATTAGGGTTTAGCCGTCTTGAGCGACGTGCGGCTAAGCCCGAATGTTTCTAGTTCTAATGCTAGTTCTAGAGACAGTGATAAGTAGCGCTAGTTAGCATAAGATATCACTAGGTTGTAAGTATATTTTTATTAAACTAAAACTAGAACTAACACTAGACATAGAACTACAAAGTATCTAGTAGTGTTAGCTCTAGTTTTACACTAGCACTGTCACTAGAACTAACACAAGACCTAGAACTAGAATAATGCGGGTTTAGCCCTCTTGAGAGAGGTGTGGCTAAATCCGAATGTTTCCAGTTCTAGATCCAGTGTTAGTTCTAGTTTTGCCCTATCACTATAACTAACACTAGAACTAGAATAATTCGGGTTTAACCGTCTTGAGAGACTTGCGACTAAATCTACTGCTGTAGCCTTCACTTTGTGGCACAAGTCGAACTGTTTCAACTTTGTATTAAAATAGTATAGACTTTTAATACCCTTCTTTTAAAAAATTCATTGAATTACATTTCAGGAGCTGAGATATTATCATTTTCTGGGGTGTACTTTATTGTATCACTGTATAATAATAATTTAGCATTTCTTGACAAAAATGTCAAGATATCTTATGTTTTTATATATTTATGTTTTCAATTTATTGCAAGAAAATCAAATCAATAAATAAAAATCTTACCAGGTGGTCCCCAATTCTGTCCATTAAAGTTTGGATGACCATTAAATCCGCCTGGCGGTGGATTTCTTGGTGGTGCTCCTCTTCCAGCAAACATCGGGGGTGGAGGGCCTCCTCTGCCTCTAAATTGTAATGGTCCACCTGGTCCAAAGCCTCTACCTCGAAACCTTGATCCACCTTCCGGTCTAATAGCAGGTGGTCCGTTCCAACCGCCTCTTGGTTGTTGTCCGCGACCTCTAAAATTATGGAAATGTTTCTCAGTGTAACAATTACAAAAGTAACAGGAATAACTATAATTGTTTATTCAAAACGTGAACATATTTATTAGGAATGACATGAATTATTTCTGTCACATATCCATTAAATAATTGTTTACGTTTCCATGGCAACTAAGACGTTTGGCGTTAAAGAAATTAGATGAACCAACCTGAAATTCGGCCGTCTGCCTCTTCCGCCGACAAAATCGTCGCCTATGTCGACGTCGTTTTCAAAGTTTTCTTCCTCCTCGTACTCTTCGGGGTTTGCGACGCCTTCGTCGGCGTTCTCGTACTCCATCACGTCAGTATCATTCTCGGCCATGTGATTATCGCGCTTATTTACTGAATTTTTAGTATAATCGTGAAAGCGTCACTGTTAATGGCCGTCGGCTGTCAACCTTTCCTTATGGTTTCTTACTGTATTATACGAATGAAGTTAGCTATAATTTAAACTTGATAAATCAATAAACGCAAAATAGACAACAAATAAGAAGAATTTATTAATAATAATGTAGTCTGTTGTTCTTTATTTATAGGGAAGCCCTTACAAATCATAATCATTTGGAAATTTCAAAATTAAAAGACTTTTTTGGTAAAAAGAATTGCACGACATCTATGTCATATTTGCAGCATTGCCAACCCAATGGAAGATATCGATATAGAAGATACCGAGTCTACCGATATACGACTTAATCTACCGATTTTCAAAACTTCGATTATTACTTACGCATTTGAGGAAAAGTATAAAAAAGCAATATTGTTAAGACGTTTGCGACACTTTCGTTCAAAAAATTTTTATTATAACATGCTCCGATTCGCGAGTTTTACCATTAACAACTTGTAAAACAATGAAATTCATCAAATTTTAATTTTTTCGTATTTTTTTTTGATATTTAAGCATCTTAGAGCAAAAGTGAATGAGAGCAATATTGTTAAAAATAAAATTTGCTACAATTTTCGTTCCACAAGTTTTTTTATAATATGCTCCGCTTCACGAGTGTTACCATTAACAACTTGAAAACGCAACAAATTCATCTAACGTTCATATTTTTGTATATTTCTCAATATTGACGCATTTTAAAGCAAAAATGTAAAAGAGCAATATTGTTAAGAATAAAATTTGCTACAACTTTTCTTCTAAAATTTTTTTTATAACTTGCTCCGATTCCCTAGTGTCAACATTAACAACTTGTAAAACAATGAAATTCATCAAATTTAAATTTTTTCCTATATTTTCGTTATCTATGCATCTGAGAGCAAAAGTGTTAGAGACCAATATTCCTATGAGTGAAGTTTGCTACAACTTTTTACTAAAGCTTTTTTTCTAAGCCGTTACGAATCCAGTGTTCTACCATCAACAAGATGCAAAACCACGATTTCATCTAATTTTCACCTTTTTAAAATTTCCCCGATATTTATGCATCTGAGAGCAAAAGTGTAAGAGAGCAATATTGTTAAGAATAAAATTTGCTACAAATTTTTTTGTAAATTTTTTTTTATAACATGCTCCGATTCTCTAGTTTCACCATTAACAACTTGTAAAAGAATGAAACTCATAAAATTTTAATTTTATCGTATTTTTTCGTTATCTATGTATCCGAGAGCAAAAGTGCAAGAGACCAATATATTATGAATGAAGTTTGCTACAACTTTTATACTAAAACATTTTTCTAAACCGTTGCGAATCAGGTGTTCTACCAACAACAAAATGCAAAACCGCGATTTCATCTAATTTTCACTTTTTGGAATTTTCCTCCATATTTATGCATCTGCGAGCAAAAGTGTAAAGGAGCAATATTGTTAAGAATAAATGTTGCTATAACTTTTGTTCTAAAAGTTCTTCTATAACATGCTTCGATTTCCGAGTGTTACCATTGACAACTAATAAAACAACGAAGTTCATCACATTTTCATATTTTCGCGATATTTAAGCATCTGAGTGCAAAAGTCAAGGAGAGCAATATTGTTAAGAATAAAATTTGCTACAACTTTCGTTCAAAAAGTTTTTCTTGTAATATGATCCGTTTATCGAGTATTACCATTAACAACTTGAGTTTGCAACAAATATATCAAAGTTTCACATTTTTGTACTTTTATCGATATTTAAACATCTAGAAGCATAAGTGTAAGAGCACAATATGTATTGTTAAGAATAAAGTTTTCTACAACTTTTGTTCTAAATGTTTCCTTATAACATGCTCCGATTCCCGAGTATTACCATTGACAACTAGTAAAACAACGAAGTTCATCACATTTTCATATTTTTCCCGATATTTAACCATTTGAGAGCAAAAGTCATGGAGAGCAATATTGTTAAGAACAAATATTGCTACAATTTTTGTTCTAAAAGTTTTTTTTAAGACTCCGATTCTCGAGTGTTACTATTGACAACTAGTAAAACAACGAAGTTCATCACATTTTCATATTTTATAATAATAATAATAATAATATGACGTTATTGTATCCCATATAGAACAAAGAGAAAAATAAAAAATATATATACAGTTTAATTTATTAGCTCACCATCAAACTTTGACATATGATAGCTAATCCAATTACTAAAAAAAATGTTAATGAACATATGTCCTATTTCAATTATTTACGAAATTATAACACTTTAAAGTTTTAATTTTATATCATAATTAACTTCTTCACAATTAACTGCTTCACAACGACGAATTAAAGAATTCTTCAGCCAAATTAAAATGTCTGGTTGATTTCTTATTTCAGAGCAGCCATTGTATTCTTTTTAATAACTGTTCTCGTGTGTTAATTTCCACTTGATACACAATTTGTTTCATTTGACCACATAAGTAGAAATCCAATGGATTAAGGTCGGAGGATCTAGGTGGCCAAGCAAATGGACCATTATTACCAATCCACTTGTTTGGAAAATATTGGTTTAACCACTCGACAACTAGTCTTCCGCGATGAGGTGGGGTACCATCATGCTGGTACCACATATTTTGAATTACATTGAGAGATATACAGTGTGTCCCAGGATAGATGTTACAAGAGGTATTATATAATGACTTAAAATTTTTTGAATTTTATTTTAAGGCTAAGGAATTAAGCCCTGCTTGGTGTGAAGAGAATTTTAAGAATATTTTCATATTTTGCAAACAAAGTCGGCCTTGACAGTGAAGCGAAAACTATTTTTAGTTTAGGTAAAGTAACCTTTTTGTTCATGATACGGAAAAATATTAGTAAGAAAAGTTGTTCAAAATAAGAAATTATGGTCCTATACAAATTTCAGAAGGATCCATCTACTTTGGTTGAACCATTACAGTTTACTTTAAATAACATAAATATTGTATAATTTTATTTTATTTATAAAAAATCGAACATCAACACAACTGTCGTTTATTCAACATAATATCCCTTTTTGTTGCACACTTTTCTATACGATGCCTAAATTCTCTCAAGCTTTTCTGAATTTCTTCGATGCGTATTTGTCCTATAGCATTTGTTATCCGTTGTTTTAGTATGTCTCGATTGTTTGGTATTGGTTGAGCGAAAACTAGTTGTTTAAGGCGACCCGACCCCATAAAAAAAATCTAATATTGTAAGGTCGGGAGACCTTGGAGGCCACGCAATTCTAGATGACACCATTTCTAGATATAATCTTATTTCGAAATATTAAATTTAACCATTCAGATACGCGTGCTGTAGAATGTGCAGAGCATCCATCGTGTTGAAAGTAAATGGCCTGTCTTTCTATCAGCGGCATGTCGTCTAAGTATTCTTCCCTGAACCTTTCAAGTAGCTGTAGATAAGAATACTGATTTAACGGCCCCTCTATGAAGAAAGGTCCAATAATACCTAAACGGTATGAAATGGCGCACCACACATTCCAGTATGACCAGTAACGACAATTTTGAGAAGAAATAACGCCATTTGTACTAATAGACGTTTCGTCCGAAAACACAATCTTTTTATAAAAATTTCGTTCCTCAATGCATTTCTCCCCGATGGTAAGACAAAATAATAATCTACGGCCTTCATCGCCTTCTTCAAGGGTATGCACAAATTTTGGTTTGAATTGGATGTATAAATTCTATGCAATTCCGATTTACTAATATTAAGAGAATGTGAACGTTCCCTCAATGATTCCCTAGGATGTTCTTCGACGGAATTAAGCGCAATAATAGTTGCGGCATCATTGTCGTTATATTTCCTTTTTTCTTTCTTAACGTTAACAACACTCCCCGATGTAAGAAAATTCTTAACTATTCGCATGACCGTCATACGTGTAAGATTGGTATTAGGAAATCTCTCGTTAAACTGCTGCACCACTGCTCTTAGTACACTTTGCCCAAACCCATAACACTGCACGACGTAAATTTTCTGTTCTAAGGTTAACATAATGCAAGAGTTATTGAGAACTAAAACTGAGGTATTGACAATTTATTTGTCAATATTTACGACTACTTAAGTTATTTTTTTTTCATGGCATTTCCATTGTTTTTTTTCTTCACTCTGATCTAATCTAAAATGTGGTGGATTAATCAATATAGGTAGATCTTTCTGAAATTTTGCATAGTGCCATAATTTCTCATTCTGAACAACTTTTCTTAATGAAATTTTGCCGTATCATGAACACAAAGCTTACTTTACCTGAACTAAAAATAGTTTTCGCTTCACTATCAAGGCCTAGTTGATTTTCGAAATATGAAAATATACCTAAAATTCTCTTCACACCAAGCAAGGCTTAATTCCTCAGCCTTAAAATAAATTCAAAAATTTTTAAGTCATTATACCTCTTGTAACATCTATCCTGGGACACACTGTATCTTCCAGTAAATCAAAAAGTGTATTGTTCAAAAAAAAATCTGTAATTTATAGCGTTCAAATGTCCACCAAGTACATGCAAACCTAGTAAATTGTTGTTAAATATTCAACCCCAAACGTTGATGCTGAAACGTTGTTGAAATTTCCTTGGTCTAATCGCATGCGGATTTTGTTATGCCGAGATATGTTCATTATGGTAATTATTTATACCATCTTGTGTAAAACATGATTCATCTGTCCAGAAAACATTTAAAATGAAGTCATTATTTTGGGCATGTTGCTGCAATCATTCATGAAATGCTAACCGTTGCTGATTATCTCCTGGTTGCAGAGCTTGAACATTCTGTTTACGATACGGATGAAGGACTTCGCGGTTCAATACGCGCCATGCAAAATTTTGACTTACATGTATGTTGTGTACTATTCTTCGAGTGCTGATGGAAGGATTATCAACGACAACATTAATTACAGCTTCTTCGTCCTCTACATAAACTACATGCGGTCAAATAGCTTTTGCTGGAGCAGGATTACCTGTTTCTAGAAGTCTTCTGAAAGAATCGCTAAAAACTGAATAATATGGCAAATGATGCTGTGGAAATCTTTCTTGATATTCTCGTACTGATTGTCGAGCATTTCCAT